CTGAGCTACACCGGATGGTGGCCACGGCCGGGGCAAAGTCTGGCCGGGCGGGCGGCGGGGCCGGGAGGTCGGCAGCAAAGTCAATGAATGTTTTTGTGGTTTCGGGTGCCGGTAACTCTAGCTTGGTGGAATGATGATGGATCATTGGCAAAACTTTCAACGTGGAGTCCCGGTTCGAGCCTCATCGGGGCTCCGGCTACTTTTCCGAGTTAGGATCTGGTTTGATTTTAACTTGGTTGCGAGCCATTTATGCGGTTTTATATCTACATGTCGATTGTCGATTGATTGACTCATTCAGTCATTCGTTCATTTAATACATGTCGACATTTAGCATACGAATTGACATCCAGGATCAATCCGATCAATCTACCATTTTCATAAGCGTAGTGCCTAAATATCATGCATGTATGTGGCACAAGACCTATGGTTGCCTCGATACCGTGCCAAATCACGTTTTGCACAATGGACAAGAAAATTATATTCGCTGGGTCTTCCGTGCATTTTGCTTAGCAAAAATAGGAATGCAATTGTTAACCCGCGCCCGGCTGGGGGTCCTGGATTTCCACGCCCTGCTGGGGGGGGGTGTTTGAACACCCCCCCTTGTAACTCGGCTCCTGGACCACGTAGCGATACGCGGAAGGCCGCGTTCGAAAGAGCGTCAAAAATAATGACGAAATCACTTCGGTCAATTTTTTGGTCAGGTCAAAGGTCAGGTCACCAGAGGTCATTGAAGGCAAAATTTCGCCGATTTCCAGGTCGAATGTCGAAAATTTCCAAGAAGCCAACGCATAACTCGGGAACCAATAGAGCTACAGCGCCGCGGAAAAGCGCATTCGATAGCCCTATTAACGCCCTTTCTGAGTAATTCTCTCAGATTTGACCTAACGTCAACGGTTTTGCCTGCAGGGGGCAAAAACTGCAAAAATAGCCGATTTTTTCGAAAACAGTTTTCCTGCAATAACTTTTGACCCAAGCCTTGTACGAGCTTACTTTTACCGGCATCGTGTTCCTCTCGTCAAGACGCATCGAATGAACTATAACTTGACCTTGAAAGGTCAACTTGAAAATTTGACCTCAGGTCAAGGTCATGACCTGACCGGAAAGGGTCATGTTGCATATCAGTCGATCCGTATCGTTCGTCGAGCTGAACACATCTAAGGCGTTTTCATCGCTCTAGCATGCCTCTATCAAAAGTTATTTGTGAAAAACTGTTAGATACCATTCGTGACCTAAGATGACCTCAGGGCATAAAAAAGGGTCACGGACACCATTTTCATGTTCAGTGTGTCTAAACCACTTGTAATTCGGTGTTTGGGAGTGTTTATAATGTCTTGCATCCAAAAAAGGCGCATTTCAATTTTCTCCCATTGACTTATAATGGCGAGGTCGCAAAATTGACCTGACCTTAGGTCATCGATATCAAAATTCTGAGATATACATTTTGTACATGCTATTGCCTTTAGCAATCGCTGAAAGTTTCAAAGCGATCGGTCACTCGGTGTAGCTATGACAGACATTGAAAGTTTTTATGAGGTGAGGTCACTTCAAGTGACCTGGTGACCTGACCTTGAATGACCTTGGTCTGAAATTTTCACAACATGTGTAGAATTGATGTATGATAAGGTGTACCAAAAACGGCGGCGCTCCGCGCCGCCGTTTTTGAGATATTCGCGAAAAACCACAAGGGGGGGTGTTCAAACACCCCCCCCCAGCAGGGCGCGGGTTAAGCGTTGCAAAATGTGTAATTCAGCAAGTGACCACACACACCCGCCCAGCCCCCATGGTCCACCAACACGCCCCACACCACTCGCCAGCCCACGCCAACCACCGAGACGAGCCCCTCCCCCCGCGCTGGTCTGACGCGACAGCTGGTCTACAAAGCGCTCCACCCGGCGACCTGAGCCGATGTCAAACGGCGTGGGTAGACTGTGCCGCTTCACTCTCGGGTCATGCGGCACAGCCTACCGGTACCAGGCGGCGGCTGCCAATGCTGAGCCATAGGAACCCAGTGGATAAAGAGTAGGGGACCATCAACCTGTACACGACTGTACCACTTCAGCAATGCGAGCGTCCGAGTGTGTTTATGTTCCAATGAAAACCCAACGCGCCGCTGCGAGCAGCGTGCTGCAGCGCAGTGCCTGAAGCACCACCGGCAGCGTCAGGTAGCGCCAAGCCGTGAAACAGGGCCCTGATCTCACCCCTGTTCGAACCGGCTTCACGGCCGACCAGTACCGGCGGTGCTATTCAGAGGGCAAGCTGAACTATGGGCCGGCTCCGCGCCACGATGGTCATTACTATGGCACCTCCCTACACTAAATGTCCGCTTATACTGTTTCATTGCCTCTGGCGGCACCGTTTTACAGAGAACGAGCACTTCCCGGTCGGTCTGGTGTCGCAGTTACCTTCCTGTGTTCCCCAACCGGCACGAGGGTGGTTGTGCGATCGGTCAACTTTTTGTTTGTTGACATTTATTGATGCGTCGTGACGCATTTTCCATTTTTACTGACGCTCCATTACGTTATGCTTTAATTATGCGGTAAGCAATTTGGAGTGTAGAACGTTGGTGGCATGTCTGCTGAGTAGTCGGTATGCTACAGCCGCATAATGCTTAACTATATACGCAGCGTATGTAGCCTATAACTTAAGTGATGTAATTCCCCTCGTTCACAGAATCAGGTACCTACCTACAAATGTTGAATGCCTTACTTGTTTGAGCGAATTCTGCCAAGGGCACGACCAATTCAGGTGGTGTCTGTTCATATGTTTTTTTTTTTAAGCATAATATCTTTGAGTTAGTGTAGTTATAGGTAGTTGTGTCCAGTTATACCATTCAGCCGACTTTGTGATGGAAGATGACTAGTAGTGCACCTACATAGGCCTGTTGAAAGCATCCACCGTTCTCACGGTAAAAGTCGACTTTTTTGTACGATAATTGCATTAAAGAGCTAAAGGCATTCTTTGAAGCGTAATTTAGTTTTCTGGTACCAAATACAAAAAGCCCTACCATAAAGCATGTAAGGGAAGTAAAGGCTGTCCCGTCTCATCAAGACTCGTGCAATTTGGGTGCGTCTGCGTGAAGCCAACACAGCGCAGGCGCGGCAGGAAAGGGATGAGCTCTCCATAATCGGCTTGTAGACTGTCTAGTCTAGTGCCACAGCTGTCAAGTGTTGACGGTGACGGGTGTGACGGCTGTGACTGGTGACGTGTCGCCAGAGCTGAGAATGTCACCAAATGTCACCATCCGAGGACATCTGGGTCGCAGCAGGCTATTTTTGTGAGCCACAACACCTGTGCAAGCCATCGAATCAATCGATTTTCTGGGCGATGCTCACATTTACTGAAGTCATTTTCAACTTGGGACCTGATATGAGTGCCCCACTATTTGGGAAAATCAAGCATTTACATTGTTTTAGTGGCTACTTTTATGGCAACTTACAAAAGAGAGCGTCAATCTGGTCGATATTTGATGAAGTTTCTTGGCTCCCTCTAATAGGTGACAGGGTAAAATAGGACTAAAAATCAGTCAAAGTTGACATTAACACAATTTGGCCACGCTTCAGTAACAGTGTCAGTGTCAGTGTCAGGCCACGCGAAAGTGTTTGAGATAGCATTTATACTTGGAATAATTATTGCCTATGGATTGCTTTTAGTATTTTTGTATATATGTTACGGGCCAAGTGCGAAGGCTAGTCCGTTTGCGAACGGACTAGTCCATTCGCGAATGGACTAGGCCGTTTGTGAATGGCGGTCCGTTTGCAAACGGACTAGTCCGTTTGCGAATGGCCGGCCATTCGCGAATGGCCTAGGCCGTTTGCGAACGGACGGGTTTGTGGCGTTGCACTTAGCCGCCGGAAGCATGGATCCTCGGATTGGGGTACGATTCCGAATGAATGGGGGACCGCTGGTCGATGCAGGGGCGTCGCCGACGGAGGGGGGGGTCGGAGAGGTCCGGACCCCCCCCCCACACACACACACATTCTTGAAAATATGCCGGTCCGACGCCCCCCCCCCCCCCTACCCCACACACACACACTTTTGGCCACGAAAATCGATCAAGAATAAAATAAAATATTTTAAAAACGATTTGGTGCATTCTCAAAACAAAATTGTCTAAATCCGAGGAGTTTTCAGTATTTGGTGGGGATTAATTTATTACTTTGACTGACCGTCTGACCAGATCCCCTAGTCGAAAATCCGTGGCGACGCCACTGCGTCTATATGTTTAGTTTGTTCTCCGGAGCAGATCTGCGAGCTGGCACAACTCTGGGTCTCCACACACCTGGTCCATTCGGGATGCGACTTTCCGCTGAACCCTGCACAACGCGGAAATTATAGCAACGTGTTGCCGCTGGCCAGGCTTCGGCCACCGATCTGGATCTGGGGAGGTCAAATATCCCCGTGACCTTCGAACAGCGGAGAGTCGCGTGGTGTGCGGAGACCATTGGTACCGTGCTCCGGGCTCCCCGCTGATGACCCGACCTGACCTTGGTCGAGTTTGTGGCGCTCGATTCTTTCTGCTCTGGTGTGGTGTATCGGGACGGTGCGGCTTGTGTGTGGTGAGTGCGGTGCGGTGAGTGTTCGAAAAACTGTTGTGTTGTATTGCATTTAACAATACGCGCACTGCAGGGGGGGGGGTTGCTTTCAACTCCCCTGTGGTTTTTCACAGATCACGAGAAAACGGCGGCGCGCAGCAAAGCCAAATTTTGCATACCTTTTCTCCCATATTCTGCGCACATTGTGTGAAAATGCTGACTCCAGATGACCTAAGGTCAGGTCACACACGGGTCAGGATATTTCGCAATTGGCCTGACTTCGCACTTGGACTGGGAGCATAAACGCCCGTCCATTCGCAAACGGCCTAGGCCAACTGCAATAACGCACATGGACTAGTCCATTCGCAAACGGCCTAGTCCAAGTGCGTTATCGCACTTGGACTAGGCCATTCGCGAATGGACTAGCCTTCGCACTTGGCCCGCAACATATATATCAACACAGTTTAACATTTCTGTAGGTATTATGTATTCCGTAATGACGAGAACAGTAGGGAGACATGGACGTGATCGATACTGTGCACACTGAAGAAGTAAGCCAAAGGTGATTGCGAAACAAATTTTGTACTTTGATAGTGTGAGGTAAACGTGGCGAACATAAAGAACGATTATGGCTGTAGCTATGTTGTAACTTGACGGTCAACTAAAACTAATTCAGGCGGTTTCACCGACACTCCTCTCAACAATGCAAAATCCAATTCACAATTCAAAGCTATTGGTGATATAGCTTAGCTCTAAGCATAAGCTCGCACGCAGGCGTGCGGGACAATGACCGTAAATAAGTGTGTGTAAAACAATTAGAGCGAAATATAACACATACTCCACACATAAAACACACCCTGTTCAGTCAATATCTATTGCTTATAAAAAAGTTGCTTTTGAATACATATATAGGATCTTTTTAAAAGAACGACATCCAAAGAATGTGTTGCGATTATCCGTTGTTAATCCCGCAGCACACGGCTCAAGCGTTCTTTAGGATGCATGTATGGCAATCAAAGAGCGATATCCCAGGCAAAGAAATAAGACATTCAAAGAAATGATCATCATTGACGTCTCCTTCACACTACCCTGCCGGCGACTAGGGCCGACAGAAGGGGCAGCACCATCAGCACCAGCGACATGGACGCCAGCACAGCCGAGTTGCACATGTTGGAGCCGCACACCTCCATCACGGTGCCGTCAGTCGTCTTCATTGTCTCCAGACGCTGCTTCTGGGTGCACATTCGCAGCTCCTCCTCTGCGGAAAAGGCAAGTTGTTGGGTTTTTACCTTCGCCAGTACGAAGAAGCTGTAAGCATAGGACCCCTCCCGCGTCGTATCTTCGAAAGCAATAGTCGGATCGGAAAATTCAAATGGCATTCGAAAGAGCTTATCAAGTTTCATAAGATGGGATATTGATGATCTCGATATTCGATCTATGACGTCACAGGGAGGTCAAATAAGGTCGAATCGACCCCCAATTTACAATGACGAGAAGTCGATCACAAAAGATAAATCTAAGTTTCTAAAATGAGTCTGGTTGTGAGTCTGATTATGGCTGTCTGACGTGTGGATAGTCATCTGAATGGATGATGACCTGAAATGTATGAGTATAATAAATATTGCCCTAGACTGATTTTAAGTACACATATTGAAAATAATATGACGTCAGAAGAACAGTCGCTTTATTTTAAGTCTTTCAAATGGCTATATATCTCTGGCAGTTTTAGAGATATTTTGTTGAGTTTTGGCATGTGTAAGGGCAGTAAGGTGTACCCTGACATATTTCCGTTTTTTAATTTTCTCAAAACTTCAAAATATATCAAGAAATTTACACTTTAGCTAGAAACTCTCAACGAGGTCAAGATATTTTATATTTTTGGAAATTTATATTGGTAACCATTTACTTTGCCATTCTTTTTTGTATTTACGTTTCGTTTTTTGAGTCTGTAATTTGATAGTCTTACTTTCTGCGATTTTTTCCGTGAACAAATTTTTAGACCAAAAATGGCCGAACATGAGGGCTGTTCACGAGCACCGCACACTGCTGCGTGCGGTGTGTGCGGTGGGTTCAGCAGGCGTGGGGGTAGGGGATGGGTAGGCGGTTCTGACGTCACGGCTGCGTGCGGTGGACGGTTTCCTCGGCCACAGCAGTCGCTGTGTGCGGTGACGGAAGGCTGACGTAGGGACGCAGTGGGCGGAGCTTGGAGGCTGTGTGCGGTCCGACCGCACACAGGGCCCGTGAACATCCCTATGGATTTAGTTTGACCTCTATAATTCATGACCTGAGATGACCTAGGACCTAATTGTTACAGGAGCTGTGTAAAATATATGTCCGGAGAGGTACTGCAAACAGAGAGTCGAAATTCGCAGCTGTGTCTGAGGTATCTGCGAAAAACCACAGGGGAGAGGGCCGTTTGGGCCCCAACGGTTCGCGGGTTAGAAACACAGACAACAGTAGAACTACTGTACATACTACTGTTATCTGTGGTTAGAACGCATCATAAGTGATCATTCAGCCATAATCTTCATTAAGTACATGCATCACACTGCTTACCTTTTTGGGTGATGGTGATGCAGTTGCTGTTTTGTGGGCAGTGTTGGAAAAAGTCGCTGCCACCGCCTGACCTGGTCAGAGAACAGTCGGGAGCGGTCTCGGGCACGCTGTCACAATGCAAATTGGCAAAAACGTCGAGCGCGTTTGCTGTCTTGCAAACGTGGCAGCGGTCCACAGAACCTGCGGAAAAACGCACACAAATCGGCATTTTGAATAGACGGAAACATCTGAGAAAAAAGCTGCTTATCTATAAACCTAAGCCCTAATGCTGCAAACTCTGGCAGTTGAAAAAAAAAACTTTCAATTTCAGTTATCGTAAGTTGAGTGATAGTAGCCGTTTTTACGACGGCCATCTGGTACACATTTGGTGCACATTTGGTGCAGATTAGGTGCAGATTTGGTCAAATTAGGTTCAGTGTATCTCTTAGTAGCTATCAGCTAGGGTTGCACTACTTGCTGATATGCCTGCTTTGTCGTATTATCAGAGAGCATCATCGATTAAAACACTGAAATAAATTCATAAAATGAAGGTATTTGATGTAAAAGAGATTAGGTGCAGATTTGGTCAAATTAGGTGCATTCGCCGGATAGCCCGTCGTGAAAACGGGTATTGGTGCTGTGCTACCGTTTTCCATCTCTTATGCATATTGCAGAATCTATCTGCGTTCAGATACTCTTGCCTACATAATGGATCAGAGGCTAGTTTCACCAACAAAAAATAGACGGCTGCGATTATTTTTTTACAAAACGATAATCTCAAAATGTCATTTACTGCTGAAAATACTAATCGCTGACTTGAAAAATGCAAAAACTTAGCTTTTAAGTGCTATATTATTTGGTCAGCAATTCCTTTTTTCACCTCTTAACCTGCGCCCTGGTGGGGTCTGTTTATAACGCGACCTGGTGGGGGGGGGGCTATTTTTTGCCCCCCCCCCCTCGTATCTCCGAAACTACTGGACGGATCCGCAAAATTTAAACGGCGTTCGAAAGGCCTGTCAATTTTGTTGAGGGAAACCAAATTTCATTGACCTCGGGGTCATCGATGACGTCACAGGTCAGGTCAAAGATGAAATGTTTCACCGTTCACGGGTCTTCTAGGGAATGCGCTATAACACCGAGGAAAACGCATTTTGTCGAGAATCAGCGATAGGGCGTCAGTTGCCTAGTAGATATGTTGCTATTAGAGGTCACTGACAATACCAGGTCAGGTCAAAGGTCAGGTCACCAAGGGTCACAGGTCAGGTCACATGAACCCAACTTTACTAAGGTTGTGTGATGCATGTTTTATGGCCAATGTTTCATTTCCAACTCAATGGTGTTGGTTATAAGACTATCAGGTACGGCTTAGGTCACTTTCTGGTGAAGGTCAGGTCAAAGTCAGGTCAAGGTCAGGCCAAAAAAGGTCTAATTTTAAAGTTGATAGTTTTGCATAAAATGGGTATTGATTCGATGCAGCTCGTCACGGGGAGTCTAATGGTGGTCTTTGTTTTGCCCTACGGGGTCTATAATTGCTAAAAATTGAGTTTGAAAATTTGACGTCATCAATTTTGAACAGTTTTTTCGCTCTAACTTCGCCAAAAAAAGAGGTATCAATCTCAAATTTGGTATGTGGATGGAAGGCGGTAAGGACTATCACATATATTCCGGTTTTTGCGAAATTCAAAAAACTTTTTGGATTTTCCGACTTTTATATCCAAAAAATCTATTTTTTATTTTTAGGGGTCAAACCCAAAAATTTCAAAAATCCGAGATAGCAATTTTGTAGCCCTGTCGATTCTACAGCTTTTATGTCTCCATCATTTTTCTGTATTTGCAAAGCTATAGGCCTGGCAGCTATTCCCGCAAAACCCTTTTTTGGGTCGAAAACGGCAGAACATGACGTCACTCTGACGTCATTTCCGGCCAACCTATCATAGCCTTTGGAAAATTTTTGGTCACTATGTGTAAAATTGATGTCCGGGAGGGTACTGAAAGTTTGGTGACGATCGGCGAAGCGGTTCTGGAGATATATCGAAAAGTCTGGAGGGGGGGGCAAAAAATAGCCCCCTCCCCCACCAGGTCGCGGGTTAATTGGATTTATAGACTATCGTTTTGTCAAAAAAATAATCGCAAACGTCTGTTTTTTGTTGGTGAAACTGGCCTCAGGTCAGATTCAAAGCCTCTCCATATTAAAAAGATGCGCGATTGTAAAAATAACCATGTATTTTTTATGATGTGTGCAAAATTCATCATATATTTTCCGACACAAATCATGACACACCATATGCATTGATTATGTATGATGGAGCCGATACAGAAAGTGGTCGATGATCACTTCATGGTTAGCAGGTGGTCGACATCAAAACTTTTACTATCAGCTCTAGATAGAAAATATAAGCTGGATAAGTTGGATAACCCGACACCGCCAGGGTTATTTCCGTACCCACAACAGCCTGGGGAGGGGGGGGGGGTCGGATCCGAACCCCCCCCCCTCTGTTATCTCGAGAACCAATGGTCGTATCGAGCCCCGCGAGGCGGCGTTCGAAAGGTCTCTACGAGACCTTCCCAAAGCACTCTCTTAAGATTTTAAGATTGAGGTCAAGTTTCAGGTCAAGGTCAAGTCAAAGGTCAAATTCTGGGGTTTTGCATGATTAGGCTTACGGACAGCGGAATCGATAGCTGCTGCTCGAAACTCACCAAAAATGACCTCAAAGACCTAGTGAAGGTACCATCTGCGTATAGGGGTCACACTAAGTACGGGTCAAGGTCAGGTCAGGTCACGAAAGGTCACGTTTTTCACTTTCTGCTACATGGACGTGCGACACATGTTTTATGGCTTATTTTTCACGCCGTATCCGATGGTAATGGTTATATGTGACCCCAAGTCACCGTGCTGGTGATAAGTGTGCATTGAAAGCATAAACAAATTGTTTATACCATACATAACTAAACGATGGCTAAGAAAAAAGTCAAATTTTTCAGCTTTTTATTTTTGACATAAAATGGACTTTTCTAGACGAACTATGTCCCAGGAATCTAGTGGTGTTATTTGTTTTCACATGCGATGTTCAGAAATGCCTATTATTCACAAAAACGCTTATGACGTCACCATGCCCAATGCATGTTGGAGCTATTTTTTACAATTTGGGGGTCAAAAATCAAGATAGAAAATTGAAACATATATTTCGGTTTTTGGAAATTCTCAAAATTTTGGATTTTATTAGCTGTTTTCTAAAAGATATAGTTTTTTGAGTTTTTAGGGGTGAAAAACGCATTTTATGGAAAATCCGAGATAGCCGTTTTAAAGAACTCGTTAAGCTGCGTCTATTCATGTCCTTAATTTGCAATTTGCTAAACCTTGATTTTTGGCGATTTTTTAAACATTTACAACTTTTATCTCAAAAAGTTTTGGAAAAAATCCTTAAAATTACACAGGAGACGTCAAATTGATGGGGAAGAAGGTATGGCAAGTTTCAAGTTGATAGCGTAAGCGGTTCATGAGTTATTCAAGAAAAACGGGGGGGTCGGATCCGACCACCCCCCCCCCCTTCCCCCCAGGCGGTCGCGGGATAAGTTGGATGCCATAGGACGGTGTCGGTGTGCGCGATTTTATTCGCCTTGGAGGAAGAAAAGTAAGGGCATAAGAATAATGCATGCTATTTTTTAATCGGAAATGCGTACCTAACTTAACAATATATAAACAATAACCAAAAGCCGTTTTCACGACGGCCATCTGGAACACATCTGGTGCACATTTGGTGCAGATTAGGTGCAGAATTGGTCAAATTACGTTCAGTGTGTCTCTTAGTAGCTATCAGCTAGGGTTGCACTAATTGCGTACCCAATAAACATGCCGACGTCGGCCCGACGTCGGCCCAACGTCGGTTCAACCTCGGCCCGACATCGGCTGGACGTCGGATATGCCCGCATGTTCCGACGTCCAGCCAAAGTCCAGCCGACGTCGAGCCGACGTCGGGCCGAGGTCGTTTGCCGAGGTTGACGAGATCGTTTGTCGTTGGACCGACGGGGCCGACGTCGGCATGTTTATTGGGACAACGCGCCAAAAATATCAACCGGCGGCGGGATTCGAGCCCCCCAGTCGCCGACGTCGGCATGTTTACTGGGACAACACGCCAAAAGCATCAGCCGGCGATGGGATTCGAACCCCGTGTCATTTGAACGCGAGATTAGTGCTCTAACCACTACACCACGCAGCCAGATAGCAAGTTTAGTTTGTTTTGTTGGGTTATGCCATTTCGGTCTGACAAGACCATTTCAGAGCCGGAAGGATGATAAGATGGAGACATTGGTCTTCTTGGCGAGCACCCTGGGTCCAGTTCATATAGAGTCCCTGGTCCCATTGCTGTTACGTGACACTTATTGGAAAGGGCGACCCCACAATGGATTCATATAGCCACTCTTACACACCTGCACCAACGTTTCCCAAAGTGTCCCTTTGATAAGTGGCACTTTGGCAAAGTGACACTTGCCGACTGGCCTTTCTATATGAACTGGGCCCGGCCCTGGTGAGTTGCCGGGGCTGAGCCTGACCAAAGTATAGGCCGAGCAGCCCCCAAGCACTCACCGCACCCGGCTACGGGCGAGCTCGGCTTACGAGCAATCCCAAATGGGATAAAGTTTCCCGTCCAGTCCGGATCAGGGGGTTGCGGCGTGGAGGAAGATTTGAGTTTCCTGAGGATATTTTGAATACAGAAGCTCTTTATGAAACATGAAACATGTATTTTATATTATTTTAATGGTCAAAACAGCGGCCGATGTCGGTCCGACGTCGCCCCGACTTCGGCCCGACGTCGGCTGGACCTCAGCAATTGATCTCGGTCCGACGTCGGCCCGACGTCGGCTGGACCTCGGCTGGACGTCGGAACATGCGGGCATATCCGACATCCAGCCGACGTCGTGCCGAGGTTGAACCGACGTCGGGCCGACGTCGGCATGCCGATGCCGAGTTGCCGACGTCACCCCGACGTCGGGCCGACGTCGGCATGTTTACTGGGGTATATACCTGCTTTGTCATATTATCAGAGAGCATCATCGATTAAATCACTGAAATAAATGCATAAAATGAAGATATTTGCTGTAAAAAAAATAAGTGCAGATTTGGTCAAATTAGGTGCACTCGCCGGATAGTCCGTCGTGAAAACGGCTAATAGTTATACCGTACTCATCAAAAAGTTTTTATTCGTGTGATAGCTCCTGATGACAAGACATTTGAACTTGGAAAATTGAAATTTGACCATGACTTTGCACCGTTTTTTTCTGACCTGGTGACCCAAGGTTTTTCTGACCTGGTGACCCAAGGACGCCCTCCCACCCGAGATAACTTTACTCCTCCTCCCACCTGCCGCCGATATGGCCAGTGCCGCGAGGATCAGAGACCGACTCATGTCGCTCAGGTGTCGGTGCCTGGTGCAGTTTCCGGGGCTCCGTCACAGCCGCCTGCGGCCCGAGGGTGTGGTGACTGGTGTGGTGGTGCCGACGTCCAACTGCGCCGCACCCTGCACGAGCGCCCTGTCGCCGCCAACACGCAGCGCGCACCTGTTGGAGGCGATACAAAGCCACACAGCTGCGGTAACAGCCGTCGACATCGACGAAAACGGGAATTTGCGGCGCTCCCGCAGTCGACTGAGCTATGCTAGCTCGGTCGCCTCGCTCACACGCCTAGTTGCACGTCCTCGCTATTGACATGTTTATTTTGGTCCTGAGTTAAGCTTAGGCTTTGGTGATGTTGAAAGCTTGGCTGCTATTACCCCTCGCCCGCACATGACATTTTCCCATCCTAGAACGCACATGGGGGGATGCCACCCCCTCGCGCCATTTCGTTCCTGCTGGAGATAGAGCTTCGCGGTAAAGACCAAAAAGATTCTTTGGGAAGAGACGAATCCAATGCTACCCAGTTTAACCTTCTCAGGTCATTCATTGAACTTCCAGGTAAGGTGAAACTAAAAAATGTTGCTGTTTTGGGTCACCGTTGGATGTCAAGTGCGCTGCTCATCATATGCCGATGACGAATGACGATGCCGTTTTGTGGTGCCCAGCCAGCTAAAACCTCTCTGTCACACTCTCCGACCAGGTTTTTGCTGCTGAGGTTATTTCAGGTCAAGTTAGGTCAAGGTCAATGATATGTGTTTGTGGGTCTGTGTGTGTCTGTGTGTATACTGATGTGTGCACCGATTGTTTATGTGTCCATATTACACCAGTAAAACGCCTTTTGGGCGAAGAACGAGCGAGCGACATAGTGAGCCCTGCACGTGCTCAAGGGCGAGAGGGTACTTCCAACGGGCTTGTGGAAAGCACCCTTCTAACCGGTCGCTAGCGGTGTGCCAAATTTGAACACAATCGGCCCAGCCGTTCCTGAGATCTGGAAGCGGCATTCTGCACGTGCGCACGTGCAAACGGGGTCCAAAATAACTTTTGCACGGCACCCTACTAACCGGTCCCCAACCCTGTACCAAATTTGAGCGGAATCGGCCGAGCCGTTCTCGAGATCTGGAAACGCCCCCTGCACGTGCGCACGTGCTGTAGCACCCCAACCTTAACACATGCAGATGAATTATCTGATGGAGACCTAACAGTGTACCGCCTTTCAATTCAATCGGCCCAACCGTTGTGCCTTTATTGAGGTTGCAATTTTAGGGGTTCTTAAAAAATGTCCAACTTTACCACGCGCCACGTGCGGTGGTTGGCAAGAACGCATGGCGGCCATCACACCACAGAACTTTTACGTCCAAGTGACATTCAGTAAAGAAGACCGCTTGTCAATCGGATGTCCCGTTCCTAAGATATTAGCTTTTGAAGAGCGTCCCCACGGCCGCTCATACTCAGGATTTTCCCTTTACCCTATTCCCCGCGGGGGGGGGGCCTCAGGAGCCCCCCCCCCCCTGAGGTTTTTTGGTTATATCTCCCAAACGCTTTTAGCTAGGAAGCTCAAATTTTCTGACTTTTTCTTAAAGGCTTTTACGCAACATTTCTGAAAATTTTGAGTTGATCTGACCTCAGGTCAGGTCACCAGAGGCGGTTTGGTGACCCTACCTCAGAAAAGTTTGCAATCACGCCAGAGCTAGAGTTTTTGACCGATCAATTTCTTCTCTTCAGGCTTTAGTTAAGTTACTAGTATGTGCAATTTGTATATCTCAGAATTTTCATATCTGTGACCTGAGGTCAGGCCAGACTCGTGACCTTTACATTGCAAGCCTATGGGAAAATATGGAAACACCTCCTGCTTCGTGTAAACGAGTCAAAACCACCCAGTTCTTTCAGTATTATGGAAGATTATCTCATCGGTGATGATCCTGGTGCCGCTAATTGACAGGGGCACCGGCAAAGGTCATCTGAGGTCATGTGACGTCATAAATCGTTTTTCTGTCAATAAATCACGACATGATGGTGCTAAAGACTTGTAAGTGGTACCAAACTGCTCGTCTGGTCAAGGCGCGTCGTTTGGTATGCAGCATGACCATACCCCACAACCTCATTGATGAATGACCTGACCTTGACCTCAGGTCAAATTTTAAATTGACCTGTGAAGGTCATCACATACCTACTACTTATTTCGCATCGCCTCGGCGAGAGCAACAAAAAAATGTATTGGTTTTATGTCTCTATGTTTCTTAGTTTAAAAGTTATATAGGTAACTAATTCCAAAACATTTTATCGTTGATGACCTCTGGTGACCTCAACATTGACCTGACCTGAAAATATTTTATGTAAAAGTTGTAGATCTTTAAACGACCTATCAAACGCCGTTCGCCGTTTGTCGCTGCGATGTGTAGTTTTTGAGATCTGAAGGGGGGGCCGAATCGCCCCCCCCCCCCCCCGCCAGTTTCTTGTCCCGGCGGAGGCCGCCAGGAATAGGGTTAATTCAGTATGAACTCGCTCGCTCGCTGCGCTCGCTCGCTCGTAATTACGTCCAAGTGACATTCAGTAAAGAAGACCGCTTGTCAATCGGATGTCCCGTTCCTAAGATATTAGCTTTTGAAGAGCGTCCCCACGGCCGCTCATACTCAGGATTTTCCCTTAATTCAGTATGAACTCGCTCGCTCGCTGCGCTCGCTCGCTCGTAATGAAATCATGATCTGAGAAGCTTTTACCAAAAATGCAGTCAAAAAAACTTCACGAAAAGTAAATTCAGCTTGCCTAAAACGCAATTATTTTAGATGACCTAGGTTGACCTTGACCCTGACCTTGGCTTCTGTACATCGTCGAATAACATGTTCCATGATAGGTGGGAGGTAAGACTGACAAAAAAGGCCGAGAGCAAGGTGTCAAAAGCAAGGCCGGAGGCCCATAGCCAACGCAAGATGTTGAGAATTGGTCATTTGGGTCATGACCTGACCTGAAAAACAAGGTCATATCTCGAAACCAAAAACCACAGAAACTTGACATTTTCAGTGGACGTCAAAAAAGGATAGAGGAGCAGCTATACGAAAAATCAGACTTCTAGCTCTATAAATGTTGAGTGCAGAGCAGACAAACTACCTGGAGGGGGGGGGGGTAGCAACCCCCCCATGTGCGGGCGTGGGTTAAACTTCTGATGCCCGATGAAATATAAATAAAGATGCATTTACAAGAGCTCAGTTGTCGATAGAATTAACGTTCAAAATCAATGCGTTGACGTCAAGAAACATCACATAGATGCTTCATTTACTTATTTACCTAAGTCTCGCCCATTAGTATAATATTTTGAAAATGTTATTAGGGTTAAATAATGGCAAGAAAATTGAAGAGAAACAAAACGTATGCTTTTTAATAAAATATGTTGCTAGTATATTTGCTCTAATAAGTGGACTAGCTGGGCATTAAGATAGTAGAGAGGAGGGATGCCTTAGCGTTAGGTAGGTATACCTATCGTTAAACGACCTATCACCCTGCCCTCCCCCCCCCTTCTCCCCACTTCGTCGCAGGGTCACGTGCCAATTTTCTTGAAGAGTATTTTCCTATTTCTTGACAATTTTTTTCAGAACTAACTCGCAAAACGAAAGCATTTGTTTCTATGCCTATTAAAAGGGAGATGATACCGCCTCTCCCCCCCCCCCCCACCACACACACACACACACACAGGTGGATTACGAACCGGGCGAGTGCGACGGTGAAGCCTCGATCAGCCGAAGACACGACTCTTACGCTGTCCATCCTCTACTGCCATCTGTAATCTCAAACTGCTCCCAGTGGACTTGCTATCGCTTATAGAGGTCGCTACCTGTGGCTGACTGTGGAGAAGCAATAACGAAATGTCGATGAATGATGTGAATTGTAAACAGACGATCAGGGGCGGATCCAAGGGGGGGTCACATGGGTCATGGCCCCCCCCCCCTTGAGGCCCGGGGGCCCAAAGACCCGCCAGGGGCACCACCGGCCTATCAGGGGTATCACAGTCCTGACAGGGGCACCACAGGACCGCCAGGGGCACCACAGGCCTAGCAGGGACACCACGGGCCTGGTGCCCCTGGGCCCTGACAGGACTGTAACGCCCCTGACAAGCCTGAAGTGTCCCCGGCAGGCACGTGGTGCCCCTGACAGGCCTGAGGCGCCCCTGCAAGGCCGGTGGTGCCCCTGGCAGGCCTGTGGTGTCCATGGCAGGCCTGTGGTGCCCTTGCTAGGCCTCTGGTGCCCCTGACAGGCTTGTAATGCCCCTGGAAGGACTGTGGTGCCCCTGGGCCCTGACAAGCCTGAGGTGCCCCTGACAGGCCAGTGGTGCCCTTGCTAGGCCTGTGGTGCCCCTGGCAGGCCTCTGGTGCCCCTGACAGGCTTGCGGTACCCTTGGAAGGACTGTGGTGTCCCTGGGCCCTGACAAGCCTGAGGTGCCCCTGACAGGCCCGTGGTGCCCTTGTTAGGCCTGTGGTGCCCCTGACAGGCCTCTGGTGCCCTTGCTAGGCCGCTGTTGCCCCTGGCAGGCCTCTGGTGCCCTTGCTAGGCCGCTGGTACCCCTGCGCCCGGAGAGGACTGTTGCCCCTGAAAAGTCTGAAGTGCCCCTCGGCAGGCCCGTGGTGCCCCTGACAGGCCCAAGGTGCCCCTGCGAGGCTGGTGGTGCCCCTGGCAGACCTCTGGTGCCCCTGGCAGGTCTGTGGTGCCCCTGGCCGGTCTGTGGCGCCCCTGGCAGACCTGTGTTGACTGGTGCCCCTGCTAGGTCGCTTGTGCCCCTCACAGACCTGTGGTGCCCCTGGGCCCTGACAAGCCTGAGATGCCTGGCTGTGACAGGCTCGTGGTGCCCCTGATAGACCAGTGGTGCCCTTGCTAGGCCTGTAGTGCCCCTGGCAGGCCTCTGGTGCCCCTGCTACCCCTGCGTCCGGAGAGGACTATGGTGCCCCTGAAAAGCCTGAAGTGCCTCTCGACAGGCCCGTGGTGCCCCTGGGCCCTGACAGGCCCAAGTTACCCCTGCGAGGTCGGTGGTGCTCCTGGCAGGCCTCTGGTGCCCCTGGCAGGTCTGTGGTGCCCCTGGCAGGCCTGTGTTGACTGGTGCCCCTACTAGGCCGCTGGTGCCCCTCACAGGCCTGCGGTGCCCCTGGAAGGACTGTGGTGCCCCTGCCCCTAGGGGTGCT